ATTTCACAAGTGTATGACTGAAGGTTGAATATTTCCTGATTGCCACTGTACTTGCCAATTAATTTGAAATCAAGCCTGTCAGTGGGCGTATATTACTTTACTTAGCAAGCTTTCTTTAACAGTTTAAATCTTCTCTCTCTTTAGCTATAAATTGTGGAGATCCTCCACCGGGGCTCGAATCATCAGGAACTGCATCAAGTGGTACTACATACACAGATACAGCGGATTATATTTGTAATGAAGGATTTGTAAGACAAAGTGGTAATTTACAGATTAGCTGTCTAGTTACAGGGAATTGGGATATAGCTAATATACTTGTTTGTGAAGGTAAGTCTCGACATTTACTTCTTCTGTAATCAATCTTGAAATTCTTAACAAACCTTAAACATGTTTAAATCTTGTGTCTATGATACCTTCGGATTTTTTAAACCGTTTTTCCCCTGTCAGTGATGCAGGTAAGAAGGGTTGGCATGGAAAAAACGTCTAGTCGTTCGGATGGGACAAACCGAGGCCCCGTGGGGTGCAGGCTGTGCACTTAAGATCCCTCGACATTTAGATATGGAAAAAGAGCATGCTAATGGCGTTCCTCCATAGCACCAGTCTTCATTAGCCCACATGGTGCAGAAAAGTAGGATGTAAAACTCCACTCATTTCATTTGTAGTTGTAAATTGTGGAGATCCTCCACCGGGGCTCGAATCAACAGGAACTGCATCAAGTGGTACTACATACACAGATACAGCGGATTATATTTGTAATGAAGGATTTGTAAGACAAAGTGGTAATTTACAGATTAGCTGTCTAGTTACAGGGAAGTGGGATATAGCTAATATACTTGTTTGTGAAGGTAAGTCTCGACATTTACTTCTTCTGTAATCAATCTTGAAATTCTTAACAAACCTTAAACATGTTCAAATCTTGTGTCTATGATACCTTCTGATTTTTTAATATCAAAAATATTAAATATGAACTGTCAAATCTTGTGGAAGTTGCCATCCGATTTAAAGTTACCTTAGCTTCTTTTTCTTGTTAAAATCATGTTTATTGTTTGATTAATTGATGTTTTTAACGAATAAATCAAGTAGTCTTGAGTGCTAAGATTGTTTGAGGATGTAGATAAGCTTGAGCATCAAATTGACTGAAATCCGATTTACAAAGCTTAAAATAGATTCCTTGTTTACTCACTGACTAAAATAGATTGTGATAATCTAGCCACATTTTCGTATAAAAAATTATTAGCCAAACCATGTTTAAAAGATATTTATAAGTCAGAAATAAGGTAATTAAATACTCTGTGTATTTAAAAAAAAAAAAACATCGTCTTTTTCTCTATTTTGGAAACAATCATTGAAATTTAAAAATTGTCGGTTGGTATTTGGCTCTTTTGGTAATGTTCGCTGTGAAAATACACTCATAGAGTAACCTCCCTTTTGGAAATTGTGAGACCTGATAATCTTTAAGTGACCGCTCGATCTTTGGAATCCCATCGTAATTAGCTAATTATGAATTAATTATTGATTTCTAAGACAAACTGATATTTTTCCTAATCATTAGAACACTCCTGCTTTCGATTTATATAAGTATTAGCCGTCCAATAATGGAATATATATAAATGAAGAAAAATAAGGCAACCGAACTTTAAGAAGTGAAATTTGGCCTGTTTTATATTAAATGAAATAAATGCAGTTTTAAAATTTCACAAGTGTATGACTGAAGGTTGAATATTTCCTGATTGCCACTGTACTTGCCAATTAATTTGAAATCAAGCCTGTCAGTGGGCGTATATTACTTTACTTAGCAAGCTTTCTTTAACAGTTTAAATCTTCTCGCTCTTTAGCTATAAATTGTGGAGATCCTCCAACGGGACCCGCG